CAGCACAATATGAAGTTTTTAGTTTTTTCTAAAATTTTCTAGAAAGTTTATGTGCTTGATTAATTGCATAATAGAAGCGATATCAAAAAATGAGCAAGATTCAAAAATAAACCGGACTCCGATTTACATGGATTTTGATGCAACTGAAGAAAGGGTAAACAAACATAAATAGTAGCTCAAAAAAGAAATATAAGTGCAAAAATCTTCAAAAAGAATTTTAAACAGATCTTTAAGCAACTCACATTAATAATAGCTGGATGACTACTCCACCGGTCAATAGTACTACAGCGAAATGATACATGGGACATAGTTCTCACTCTATAATCCATTGAACATATACCATCTTTTGACAGCGGTTTTGTTTGCTCATCAAGAGCCTTAACAGCAATATTTAGCATTGTCCCCGTTTGAAAACACGAATAATGTGGATACAGTGGTAATAAAATTAACCGCTGTATACCTTTTCTGGAAATAGTAAGATCACAATCAACTACATGACATTTCAAATGTACTAAAAACTTGAAACCTACTCAAACAAATCAATGACAAGTTTTGTCCCAAATAGAAACTGCAGAAGCTGGAAAAAAACAGCAAGATTATACCCTACTTTTCCTATATATGTTTCTGAGAAAACGAGAAGTCCGAGTTACTTATTATAAGTTGAAATTACCTTATCAATTCACTGATCGTTCTCGAAATAGTTGGTTCGTCATAAAGAAATGCGTAAGTGCAGCAGAATGAACGATGTTCCGGAATTAATTCATTCAAATATCCTTGCAGTACTTCTGAATATGTACTGACAAGATGTGAGAAGTTTTCGCTGTATTTGTAGTCGTCAATACAAAAATTAACTTTCTTCGCTAATGGCCAATATAATTGTGTCACACGTCTTGAAATAAAGAGATTTTTAAATTTTAAAATGCAAAAGAAATATATCTTTCAAATGAATTTTTCCCTTCTTTCTCAAATTGAGTATCATGCACAAAAGGGTATAAGAAACCCTCCTATTATTGAAAGCAGTCGAAATGAGCAACAAGCAATGACGTGCGGCACTGTGTACCATTTCATACATTAGAGCTTTATGAAAACAGAATTAAAAAGAAATGAAGCATGCATACATACGAAGTAAGCCATAGTGGTATCTTATAGTAGTAATGAGAGCCTTCAGCCAAATGTTTCGTGGCATAATACGGTGTTCTCGGCTGTCCATGATGTAGCATCAAGATTGCTGTCTTCGTTGTTCTTTCTTGCACAGCTTTGAGGTTCACACCTTCTGCCGAAATAGATCCCAATACATTTGAACTTAAGCCATTAACTTTTATACATTCAATGTGATGAACAAGAAATAGGCTCCTGCCCAACGGCCATCTGCTCATTGTCAATCTGTATTTGAGTTATTCCAATTACTAATACTTCAATCACCAGTAAATAATTATGAAAGAATGAATAAAGCTTCAAGACAGTTTCAGTCTTTAAATTTCATTTTATTAATCTCGATCAGCTCGTTTTGCTCATCTTCGAATGGGCAATCAAGAAAAAACGAGAGGGACTTCAGTTTCGGTTAAATATCTAAAGGTGAAGCGAAAAACAACTCGAAGCAGGGAGAGGGAATAAGAAAGAGAGAGAGAGGAGAAGGAAAGGACAGAGTTCCACAGCAACCCATAGTACGAACCCACGCTTCTTCCTCACCACCCAAACACAAATTCCAAAAAGCATATTGCATATCGCATCCCAGGATTATTGCATTGGTCGCGTTACGAAATAATTGTCCTACATCTTCCGTTGATGTATCGCGTACGTGAGGCTATTCCTACACTTTATCAAACGTTATGGCACAACCGTATGACCGTATGATAAGTTCTAAATAATGCTATCTCATTTCCATCTTGATAACTAACTAAGTTGAAAAGTGAATGATATAACTAACTGGCTACTGGATAATTTATTCGAGAAAACTTCTAAATAGTGTTTAGTGGCATAAAACTGAATGGCAGGTCTGTGATGTTTCTAAAAATCTAGAAATGCATATGAACATATATGTTACTATAAAGTAAACAAAGCCAATGCCTTTGCAAATAACGTATGTTACAATTGCGCATTTTGAATGTGAGAAAGTTTGTTAGTTTTTTAATCGTTCTGTTCCTGAGAAACTGTCAAGTATTGAAGTGAAAGATGAATAATTGAAGGATTGAACAGCAATTTGCCCTTTGTGAACATCAGGTAGAAAGGAACTTCAGAATTTTTATGCATGATGTACTGTGGGATGGGATTGGAAAAATTAATATCAACTGAAAAAGTTGAATGATCAGACTTGAACCTGATCACCACTTCATGATATTACTCTGAAGAATTCAAAAAAAAAATCATTAATAGAATTTTATATTGAGTGAAACTTGTAAATCAATCACTTCATTCTTTTTGATGTAGCCTTCTAGTCTTTGAACTTCATGAGTAAGAATGGTTTTTGTTCGAGAATGCTCGCTGTTAAAAAAAGTTTTCGATTTCATTAAATTTTCATTTCCCATACATGGAACATATGATTTTATGATACGCCCCCTCCCTCCCTCCCCTCAATGAATTGAATTTCTCGTTCTTTCTTATATTTGAAATACTCGAACATTTCGCATGTTTAATTAATGACACTTTTTGCGATCTTGAGGTTTTGAAATTGATCCATTTTTTCTGATAGTATGGACGGAAAAAGATATCTTACCCTTACTGTCAGGCGAGGGGGTGTGAGAATGTACCGCAAATCGTTGTTAATCATAGAGCGGCGCTTTTTTCTTCCTTTTAATTTTTTCACTATGGCAGTTCTCAGCAGTTCTTATATAAAAAGTTGCCTATCGACATGGTGCTTAACGAAAGCACCAATGCTTTCTTCTTCACGTGTTTTCAGAGAAAGGCCACATTTTTTGAGATTACCTGGTGCTTGCATCATACTAGGCGAATTCGGCATGTAGGCTCAAAAATTAGTTTTGTTTGATATGAAATGAAAATTAATCTTAATTCTACTTGCATTAGCGAACCAATACCCACGGTAACACATCATAGCCACTTATGTTCACTTCTGCACTTGTGCATAGCATTACTATACACTTACTCTTTCAGCAACAAGCAAAATTAAATAGATCCTATTTGACTTCGAGTAGATTGGCTCACTAAAAATTTTCTGCATGCCCGAAAGAACCAGCTGTGTTGACAGTTGCAGTCTTTTTGAAAATCAATTCACTAATATGATTTCAAAATATCTGCAGTTGTCTAGAGAAGTTAATTGCAACGATGGAAATGTCAGCGAAACTAGATTTTGCACTCTGTGATTGGCATAAGAGTGATACTGTTGCGCTGTTAGTGATGTAATCAGAAAATCGGAATACATCTGACATCTAATGCTACAGTTGTCGTTGAATTCAGGAAACACGGATGTACTCGAACCGGATCATCCTGTCAACTAACATACCAACTTCATGGCAATCATCTTATACCATTTTATCTAGAAGATTTAAATTCATGTCGTTATTCTTCATTTGCGATGAATTCTTTGTAAGATCTGTGAACTTTAAAATGGAAGGTGAATTGAAAACGATTTCCTTTACTTAGTATCTCTATGGTAATTGTTGCGACTGTTAAAATGATACTCTCTGGTAACATCATAACTATTTTTCTCAATGGTAGCGATCAGTATGATCAGGGACACCAGCTTCATACTTTGGAAACATGCTCAGTTAGTGCAAAACTTTGGAAACAAACTTCGAAGGTTGTTCCTTGATAGGATTTCTGAGCAAGGAATTCATGTACTAATCTTGTTTCGAGTTCAAGAAGAAATACACCAAGTAATGGAAGGACAATTTTATATTGAAATGAATGACGTGACAACAAGCATTTATCAGGAAATAGATCTGTCCAGAATATTTGTTCTTTCTCCCTTACGACATGAAAAAATAAGCTGCATAATCTGTTTACATATCGTAAAATGATGCTTGCTTCCACGTCTCTGTGTTGCGTAAATCAATGATTGTGTCAAATCATTGTACGGATGGTTGATTACCCGTAAACAATCCCACCAGGTCAGTTAGCTGTTAATTCATATACTAATTCACTTCCCTCGGCCTCTATGTGCCATCGTTGCCGATGCAAATATGAATGAATGTTCAAGATGAATCACTTGACTGGATTTTCATTTTTAGAGTTGCACAATTGTTTACTTTATGTAAATTTAAATGTATAAAGTTGTAGTAATAAGAAGAAATGTTTTTTTTTTTTGATTTAAAGAGAGAACAATGGTAATAGATCAGCCGTTAAATTTGTCTCTTCGTAAATTGCTAATATATCTATTTGCAAAAAAAATTCTCACAAAAATTTAAAATTCCTCTTGACCACTTGGAATTTTCACATATCAATCAACAGCATAGCATGTGCTTCCTATCCTCTCTTCGTGGCTGTGAAAATTTCTTCACCTTTTTCAAAGACCATTATTTTCAATGCCAAAATGACTTGTTAAATTGTGCTAGATCTATGTTAATGCAGGTGAATACAAATTGATCAATAATTACCAGTTGAATGTAGAACTAGATAAGCATTCAATTAAGTAATAGTTAAAACATTTGTGCACTGCAAAAAAATAATAATATTGATAAATGCTGCGAAAGTTTGAAATGCTTATAATTGCTTTGGTCATAATATAGGAAAATATTCAAAGCACTTTATCGGGCAAAAATAATATAAACTGATATTCTCTTTTTTGCAGTCAATGTAGTTTATAACCTATCAATACTAATTGTTTCACACTGTCTGATTCACTGCATTTTTAATAGCTTATTAAAAGCAGCACAGCCTCTTCAGTATTCATAGTATACAGAACAAAATCTTAGTTCTTGTCTTCAATCGAAACAAATATTGATGGAACACTGTTTTATCAGTCAACTCATTCAGTGGGACATTAGTTTATTGCATACAAGAAACTTGAGTATTCCTATGCTGTAAGACATGAATGTCTAATATTTCTAAATCTGCGATGATATTTCTTTTAGATAGTATTCATTAGTAGGGTCACTTGACTGCACTCGAAAATTTGTTATTTCCCCTTTTGCAGCTATCATGGAATTACATTCCTGCAAAGATTATTACTCTAAAATTTTGTTGATAATATTCTAGTCAACAGTTAAGTAACTAGGAAAAAGGCCGTCACGCATATGTTTAAATCATACTTTTACTTTCTCGGATTCACAGTAAATTTCATGTCTCCAATTTTTTCGATATTTGCTTTCATTTAATGAGGACATTACCGCAGCCGTTTTCAACTACTTCCTATGAGGTTCCAGACTTTCAAGAAGAATTAAAAGAAATCAAAAAAAACATAAGCGGTCCGAATTAGATACTGTGGTTTGATCCTTCAAATAACACAGAATTGTTTAAAATTCCTCAGCAGCGTATTAAGTTTATATTACAACAGCGCTATCAGTTACATGATATTTCACCAATTGTGGATGAAGATGAATGCAAGTCTTTTTTAGTTGCTGAGCTTTCCAGGTTACTATCAATCAGTAAGTCATTTCTAAATTAATTGCAAGAAATCAGTTCAGCAAAATATACGACATACTGTAAGACAAGAGGGTAGAAGAATTGGCAGAAATCGATCAGCTCCCTTAATTAATGCTTTTAGCCCTGAAAAATTGTTCCAAAAGTTTTTTCGATACAGAAAAACTAAAAATAGGGAAGAAAAGCTCTTCTTTCTTGATCATTCATTTCCTAACATGATGAAAACTTGTTTTCGTTTCACCTGTTATCAACAACAATCGAAAGATATGAATGTCCATCGTCAGCGTCATTTTCGGAGTGTAATACCAAACTTCTCATTTCATTAAAAACAGCATTAAATCGTCGAGGAAAGCAAATTTGCATTTTTAACAAGAATCTCATGATTTCAATTGCTGATTAGTGTTGTATTCCCACCAAGATCTTAAGCATGCTAGTAACATGTCACCATCATCCATTTTCAGCAACTTATATTTGTCAAATTTAAGTTAAAACAATCGGTTTAAAATCGGCAAATTTTTGTAGCTCGTTATTCTCAAACCAGTTAGTATACTTTGAAGTGGTGAAGAAGGCATGAAGTTTAATAGATTCAGGAATGAGCAATAATGTCACTTATAGAAACTAAGCTGAACGTTTAAGCATCGCACCAAAATGCACTTTATGCTGTTGAAAACACTGGAAACAATAGACTGCACCACAGATAACCACTCTCCTATTATTTACCACAACGTGAAGTCAGACATATTATCCATGGATTCTACCAACCAACAACCAAAATCAACAATGTGCCACAGTATCTAAGTCATTCAATACAGGTAGTTCTGGGAAACATTCCCACGACAACCAACCTTTCATCCCTACTTGCAAGCTGTTTCCTTGCCTAAGTTCATTTACATTACTTCTATAGAACCTTTCCCAACCCTTATCGATATATTTCATGTCTCTTCTTTGCTGTGCCGGCTCCAGTAATAATGGGCTTAGAACCATTTCTGTAGAACCTTCTGGAATCATTTCGATGCTCAGAATACCAACCCAACAAACTCCTCGTTGCATTGACACTACAGAACGAAGACACACACGTAGCAGTACCTCGCCACTGCATTCGTCCGCTGCAACAACCATGAGTGCATCCCATCCTACTGTTAGATTTGATTCACCCTTCAAATACAATAACACTGCACTGAAACAGCAACCTCATGATACCGACTAGATAATTAGACATGAGAAGTTGACATGTAATAATTAGTGCGCAAAAGTCCCTCTCATACACGATAAGCCTTTTCGTCCTAATAATATCCTTCGTCATCTTCCAGTCCAGTATATTTACTAACTTTTCCGACAAATTTTATTCGAAATTCTGTCTGTATACCAAACAAATACTAACAGAAAAAGAACTGATGACAGGAAACGGAAAATATAAGTGGCCAGAACAAATGCTATTAGTATAAATCGTATATGCTGATGTCAAAACGAATAAATCTTACGAGCTCAAACAATCAAATAGTCTTCTCTAATTTATCCTACATTATTTTTAATGATAAAATAAAAAATGGGAAAACATGATTTAAGTCGAGTGCTGTAACTAGGGGAAACTTCTGTTAACGAAAAGAAGCATTATTTTCTGATTGAACCTTCAACCATCATTAAAGGGAACAAAATGATAAAGCAGATTCATCTGACAAAAAAGTAACATTTTATGACAAAGAAAAAATAGATATAAGGATGGACGAAGTGGATGAATGAATGGGTAAATGAATGAAATTAGTAAATGAAATATAAAACGCTCCTCGACACTTGCTACAGTTATCACCGCTTTAACTACAAATTTCTTTTCAATTAACGAAACATATGCAAAAATGTAATAATAATGTATCATCATTCCCCCCACTAATTTGCTCACTCTTTTATTATAATTCATTAGACAACAACCTGCTAATTAGCCTACAAAAGATGCAGTAGTGAGAATGGTCTCCAGTCGATTAAACTACCGCAAATGCCGAGTCATGTACAAAAACAAAAAGCCACACATGAAATATATGAAATAATACTTGCACCTATTGAACAAAGCAAGCGTATATACCGGATTTATCAGAGTAATCGACGGATGACGGACTACTTAATGCAACTGTGAAACTGCACTAAACTGCATTTCTCAAAATGCATCTAAAAAGGTGATCCACAACTTTTCTTGTTATATATTAACTTTTTCTAAAATAATAACAAATGCATGAACTAAGCACCAGAGAATTCAATTCTTATTCAAAATCCAAACCAGATGCTAGGTTCAAATTAAACCGTAAAAAGCAGACAAGCGTACTTGCAACACCATTTCTGAACGTTTCTCAGCTTGTCCGAAAGTACACGATGAATATTAGATAAATAACATTAAAAGAGTATTAACAAAGATTTGCTTTAAAACATCACTGAAAATATAAATGACTACACTTTAAGACTGTACACTGAAGCACCAAATGATGCTATAAGAATACGAGATTGTTTAAAAACAGTCGTAAAAAATTATTATATGAGGTCAGAGTAAATTATGCAATGATAACGAATAAAAAGATGAAAAGTATATAAGTGGATCAACTAACGAAAATAAGTGTTTAAAAATCAAGTGAAACCTCGAAATTCTTTGTTGGTCTAGTAAAATGTCTTCACTATCATCATTCCATATCGATCTAATGACACTTAGGCTTAAACAGGCATACAAATTCTGCTCGCGTATTATCATCCGAAATGTATTATTACTAATAAGCAACTTAAATTCAAACGTCGCAATAATCGTATTTCGATGTCTTCCACTCTTTCTCCTTCCCAAGTATTTTGGGCAATAAGGTTTCACATTGCTCTGAATAACTTCTACTTTTGAAGTTTGAGGTTTTAAAAAACTTAACAAATTTTATTTCTTTCACATGCGATTGCAGTAAATATCATAATCTGTTGGTGTTCGCGTAAGTTGATGATTTGATGCCGCAGTCCATAAATCTGTGCTGACTGGTGCATTCCACAAACCGCTCATCGCGGTTGGAAACTGAAAGTCACTGATCGATGGCAACAACTCAACATCAGGCTGCGACTGATTTGGATCATCTGATGATGGTGGCGGTGGCGCAGATGGTTGTTGTGCTGAACCGTTTGAGACAAATGGGTCAGAGCTGGTGCCTGGTCTACTTGACGGATAGTAAGACATGGAACAAACGGGAGAACGCACATTGACTACATGGGCGGTAATGGGTACTGAACTGGTGGCTGTTTCCGTGTCGACGGCTGTCCCTGCACTTCCGTACCCACTACTTGACCCGCTTGACATGGAACGTAGTTCATCCTGACATACATTAATTAGCAACACATTAAAAATTTTGACGTCGGTCGGCAAAATACAAGTGCAACGTTTGTTGGATAGCAACTGCTTGTAAATAAATTGTATTCCTATAACAACCTCAAAAAACCAACTAATCAATAATAAAAATTAATGCATCGCATTAAAAAGATAAGTTGCATACCTCATTAAAATAATTACTGGATGTCAAGAAAAAGTAGAAGATTTTATGAGTGATACTTCAGTGAAACCTTAAAGAATCCCTACTTGATCAGTGATCACTGCACTGTTGTTAGGAATGGCAATTGGTGATTGTCCAGTTGATGGCTGCCGATAATATGCAGAGATCTGGTGATGATGCATCATCGATGATGTGCTACCACTGCTAGTGCTGTAGGAAGTAGTTACATCACCCACATGGTTCTGCAAATAGACAATCATTTCAACCACTCTAAAATTTTCAAATAAATCTTAAAAATTGGTATTTCAGATTCTCCTTCAAAGAAATAAATTTACTGAAAATTTTCTCCAAAATGCTCTTCTCCAAATGTTAACTTTTCGAACCAATTATAAGGAAAGTTAACCATTTTTGTACAAGGTATCAACAGATGTTGCGACGGCACACTGGTAGTTGAACAGGAATACATTGAAGGAGCTGAATGCTGAGATGATGTATAAAAATCATCGTAAAAGCCGCTTTCTGGAGTCATTGGTGTATTCGCAAAATTATTTGGCGATGGAAATGATTGTTGGAATAACGCTTCCTATAAATACAAAGTAAATTTCTTATTCGAATGGAATCTGTTCCATAAAGCTTGTAAATAAATTCAAATCACTCAGTCATGATAACAAAGCTATTACCATTAACTATTAACATATGACTGGTAAATTATGAAACTATTTTCAAAACTAAGAATTACAAAGACTTTTCTGAATATCAGTTTGACGAAAAGCACGATGCATTAAAAAAAAAAAAAAAAGAACTCAGTTAATTAGTATTTTGTCAAAAGAAGCAATTTGAAATGGATGAACAAATATTCAAAATTCAACATCGAAATCTTGGCAAAAAAGAGTTCAATAAATTACATCACATTATGTTAATAGCTTCTTAAATTATGCTCAATCACACGTCACTTATTTCACATTTACTTCCAAACAAAGGACTTTGAAATTTACCTGTTTGACAGTAGTATTTGCAAGTGGTGATGTCTTCTGATCACTTGTGGCCGAATTCAGATAACGAATACCATCATGATCAATCTTCATCGACTTACCAGAAAATGCTAAGTGATGATGAGCTTCGCTCTGACCACTCATTCGCAAACCAAGTATGCTGTAATACAGTCTAATAATACAGAAGTTTAATAATTAGAACATATGCTGTGCCCGAATTTCTAAGTGTTACAAGCAAAGAATTCACTTTCTTCTAATCCACTTTTAAACGATAAAAATCTACCGTTTATGTGTTTTCGGTCGACCAGTAGTAGTAATTGATGAAGTAATGCCATTTTGTCGCATTGTCTGACTGGGCACATGACAAGAATTACTCACAGAAACAGCAACCTGTCCTTCCGCACCCTTTTTTGGCTTCTTCCGTGGCTTATACTTGTAATCCGGATATTCCTTCATGTGCATAACACGTAACCGTTCTGCTTCAGCAATATATGGTGCTTTCTCACTATCCGACAGCTGACGCCATTGTAAGCCAAGCTAAAAAACATTTACGGAATGGCGGCATTGTAGTGATCAAAGAATTTTCATATGCATAACACTATAAATTCAGCTAGTTAACTGTGCTCAGGACGGGATTTATGCATCAATTTCCAGGAATGCAGTGAATTAAAGTCAAACCCTTTTACTGATTTCCGCATTGTGCATATCCGGTGAGGTTTCGCAAATTTTGCGACGTTCCATTTGTGACCAAACCATGAAAGCGTTCATTGGACGCTTGATATGATTGCTCGATTTCTTGCAATTTGTTGCATCCGTATAAGGAGTGGAACTATTTTTAGCGACCGAAAAATATTCGAAATTCATCCACAAAAATAAAACAAATAGAAAGAGATTAGGAAAAAACGAAGATTTTTGATTGGAAGAAGTGTACAACATAGAATTATTGCATCACAGAATCATTACAAAATCTAAATAGACTAAAATACATTCACGAAATTAGGCAAAAATGAGGATTTTTGGTTGGAAGAAGTGTATACCTCATAAGAGCAAACCTTCAATGAGCCAAAATGTTCAGTAGGATCCCAACCATTTGATGTGGATGATGTAACGGAGGAATAGGATTGATGAGGTTGTTGGTGACATATATCCAGCTGAAAATATTATCTTAATTTCACTAATTCCATTGGTGATCAGTTCTGAGAGATCAAATTCAAAGCTTTTGGATTAGGCTTAACTCTCAGTCCATGCCAAAGTCTACTACAGCAACCAAGAATTATATGATGAATCCATGCGGCCACAAAAAAGGACTAAATTGTAAACATTACATTTTTCTGCAATTAACGGTCAAGAATACTTAAAAGTCACCTGACTCTCCAAGTCATCTAGAACATACAACTAACTACAACAAAAGTCGCTATGACGAAACGGAAAGAGTACAGAAGCCATGGTCGATCAGAAATTTGAAAAATGAATAAATACAAAGAAAATGGGTGAATAAATACTGCACAAATATAAAACTCACTTGAACACCTTATCATGAAATTCACTCGGAATTTACAATTAAAAAAAATTTAAATATAGATGAAATCTGTGGTATAGATGAATTTGAAGTAGAATTGAATTTAAAATAAAAACTTGGACAAGGTCAACACTGTATGAAGGATGAACAACAATTTGATAAGAACCGAGCAACTTGGAAACATTACATTCTGAACAACCAGCAACATAAAAATTGTAAGCCTACCTGCAAGTGATTTGTTTGGCCGCCATGCGAGCTGAGATCCATTTCAGTCTTAATAGGTATAAATGATACTGCCGATGAAGGCTTATCCATAATCAGGCTACCAGATGACATGATCACCTTTCCAAAAAACTCAAATCAATTATTACTATTTCTAGTAACAGTAGTGAAACAGGAATATTTTCAGTTACGCTTTCCAAAGCGCAAATATGATACTAATGAGTATTATTTGGTGGATGCCCAAGATAGTCAAAACTGTAATAAAATTATACATTAATCAAAACCTTATATAGTATGAAGTCGCGCAACGAGAAAACGATGAATTATTGATCTGCGACATTTATTTCTTACTTTTTTTTTTTTTTGCTTACCCGACATGTGAAAACGAGAATGTTTATTGGTCACTATTATCTTCTCAACAAGATAACACAAATTCAACAATTCCAAATCATTACCAATTAAACAGTATTACTATAGCATAAAATTGGTAAGGAAAAAAGATTTGGGAACGAGTCAAAAAAAAAAAAAAAAAAAAAACTGAACTCCAAGAGAAAGAAACAGTTGAAATCGAGAAAGCATTTGCATTACCGCTTGATTCCCTCATATAAGATTAACCTGTGATGATATGAGGGAAATGAAATGAAAGAAATGACTGAATGAAAAGTGCTCCCTCTTGTTTGAATCCTCCGATATATTCAGGTCATTCCCAAATTTCAAATCATAACTGAAGGCTTTACAGAATCATTGCGTTGAATGTATGTAAAAGGCAATGTTTTGAGATACAAAAGTGAGACTAAAACGGTTGACAATTTCAGTAATGCTAAGGAAAAAGAAGAAATAATAAATAGGTGAAGTGATGACGAACGAAGTATTGGTTAAGTTCATTTTAAGTTTTAAATTAATGAATGATTAAGGGTAATACCTGTTAGATAATTGGCACTGTTTTGCTTGAGAATGAAAGAAAAAATTGCCGAATGAAGAAGGATGCAACAGGTCATCCTGGGTTATATAAAAGCGCTGGAGATGAAATATACTTTAAGATTTGAATAAATTCTAGTCATCAAAGCCAACAAAGCAATTTTGATATAAATATCTGGTCGGATTTTCTCTTTTCAGTATCACTACGTAGAATTCGAAAATTTTCATAACATATTTCTGTGCAGATTTCAAAATAAACTGCTAATTGGGAAAAATTCGTTCACAGTAAAATATTGAAAATTGAAACAAACACAAATATAATTCCAGAATGTTTCCAACTTGGGAACACATCTTTCAGTGAAGCACATACATTAGTGCTAACCAACCAACCACACTGTTTCCTGCTCATTACTGTATAGCTCCGGAATCAGTAACATTACGGAAAGGTAGAAGAAACGAAATCAAAATCAGGAAGTGAGCTGTATGGAACATAATATCAAAGTAGGGATTGATTAGAACAGAAGGATCTGATCAGCTGCTACAACAACAACTACTACTGCTACTGCTATCCTTTGGCAAATCATTCAATTAAAATGGTAGGTAATGTAAAAACGAGATTTCACAACACTGTAGCATGCAAAGATGGAGATGAAAATGACCGAAAGTACTCTGAGAAGATAATAGTAGTATAAAGAGAAGCACAGGGAACAGATGATAATTAATGAAAAACAAGATTTTAATAGTGACAGAATGAACGTAAATACTACAAAACGGTGGGTCGAAATCGAGATTTGTTTCGATTTCAGACAATTTCTAGCACGGAAACAATTTCAAATGAAATGAAGAAGCACATCATTCTAAAAATCTTTGCCTGAAATATGATCGAAAGATAGTGAAACAGTACAAAAGTTCTGACTATATACAAATGCCACATATCACTGAGTTATCCAATGAAGCTATCGGGTTTATAATTGTGCGAGACAACTTCATTAATCAGAATTCATAAAATTCAAATATAAATTTCACCACTTTCTTTACATAGTAAAAAATGAATTAGCTGCTAAAACACGGGATTAAGTGTTAACCTATACATATATTCTTTATTCTTACTGTGTTAGAGCGAAATACGGTGCAAAAGCTCAGAGATATATGATTTTATTTCCAACTAGCCATAGGTTCTGTTTTAAAGCAAAAATGGGCTCCTCCTTTCGAGAAATAACAAGGCAAGCAAAACATGTCTTAAAAATAGGTGCGCAACAAAACAACATCTAGCAGTTACCGATAAGGCGACCAATACCGAACAAACCTGATCATTTCCTATCGTTGATATCGTATGGTCACTTTCAAGAGACTAAAAACAAGTTCTTGGAACTACTCTAGACATCGAAAAGACTGGTACCAATATAATTTCAGGTTATCTGCTAATCAATAATTTCAAAAATTCGCTCCTGATTTCAATCGACAAATACTATGACCTGTTTACTTCCTGCTGGATGAAAACCTATGTATTCAATTCAGCACATACACAGAAATAGAATGAAGCAACTTATAGAATAGCATTCATTTACTGATTAAAAAGTCAGTTAAATTTAAGCATTACTTGATGACTGCATTATTCCCATTCCCGTGAAAAAACCAAACCACTATTAAAGGTATGCTAGTTTGCTATACTAACACTGATAAACTTATCAATAAATATTTGATTCTACTCGCTTGTCCACTCCCACAACAAAATATAAACCTTCATCGCCTACTATCATAAGTAGAATAACTTTTCTTAATTTCCACAGCACATAACAGAAATAGAATGAAGCAACTAATAGTTTTCAATGGAAATCTAATCAACTTATCCATTATTTAAACTTTTCCCAATGCAATCGTTGTAACGAAATAATGCTTCACAAACAACGCCGAAATATGCAGAAGATTCTATTCGGCAAAAAAAAAAATACTGAAAGATAACTGCATACCTGATTAAAATGAGATTACTCTCAGCTCTCGGATTAATCTACAGCGGGAGAGAATTATGTCATATGAAAAATCTGATATGACTTCTAAAATTCGGAAAATGACTCATTCAAAAGATTCTCTCATCGCTTCATTACCAACAACCACCAATACATCAAATTTTCTAAAACAGTTATCACCATGGCCCTCCACAAAAGTTCGCATTGGAATAGCTGTAATTATCATACATCCTCAACAACATGCAGATTTGCAGCAATCATTAAGAAGCTGTGGCGTGAGATGACGAATGATCCAACTGATTCGGCAAAACGAAACCAACTAAACCACAACCAGAATTATGTGAAAGGTACCGATGAGTGTTGGCACAAACAAGCATTCTTTTTGCTTTCGGACATATGAAAAGTACGGCGAAAAGCGTTTGAGTTAAGGTAAAGAATGATTTTTATCGCCCCAGGCAGAGTAATTACTGCCACTGTCACTATCATCCTGCAGCGTCGTCATCACCAACATATGATTATCATCTTCTGTTATCACTATTATTATCTTCCTATTAAAATCATCAGGACGACTAACCCTTATTGCGAGAAATGGACATCTATAAGTCTTTCACATTAAACAGTAGCAAACAAACAAGTTTTCTTCTCCACTGTAATACTACTGACCATACCAGAAACACCGTGATATAACCAAAAAATCAACATTCGTGTAGTAATTAGGAATGAAGAAGTTGAAAGCTCTCTTGAAATCTACCATCACACACGAGATATCTTCTCATTGATATCTTTGAAAAACTAAGAAATCCAAGTCAATATTTAACTCAATACATTTTCATTAGCTGCTTCAATGTCATGTATAAAACTGCGCTCCTCCTCTCACTCCATGACGAATTATACTTTTATTCAAATGCGCTTTTATTAGATAATTAATTCAAAGAAGCAAAAGCTTTGTGCTACATCATCACTGTTTAAAATAAAGGATAGGGACGGGACGATCTCCGAATTATATGATGTTCGGGACATTGAAACTTCTTCTCCCACCATTCTCTACCACGAACTCCCTCATTTTGTCCATCCAAAACACTGTCAACATCAGGAAATTTGGTTTAATAAAGTGTCATGGCACCATGTCAGTACCAATTACATACTTCCACCACTTTCGGGAAGAAAAGACGGGATCGGTTCGATCTCAGTAGGGGTACCTCGTCCACCAACAGCATCCCACAGCGCTACAACGACCACTAACCTCTTACCCCCTACATCTTCAACAGAAAATGAACCACCTTAATATGCCATCTAAAATAAGATCTCAATATCGAAATCCTTACAATAAACAACTGAATTACAAGAAAAGGCACTGGTACCAACATATCAACTAGATACCCATGAATGAATGACATTTCACACCTCTTTAGAGATAGCTATCTTAATCTCATCCAGTAATGTACTGAATAAAGATGTTTTTTTTCAGATACTTGCTTCTTATCAAACGATCGTCAACTGCGCTTTATAGCAAAAACTCCGCGTTAAATGACCTAAGTTACTATTTTTAAGAATTGTAATAATTATCTAGTAAACTGCAAATGGCAAGCAAAACAAGAAAATAACGATCTTTTGACGATGACACGGAACCATGTAATGATTTTGTGGCATAAAAGGAAGTTTTACAGATTTTACAATCCTAGAATCTTTTCTCTTTGTCCATCTGACTATAATTTTATTAGAAGGTGCAGAAAGGTTTGGAGAAGTTGACAACTGACATATCTGTTGATCATATTTGGAATGGAAAATATATAGTTCAGAATTAACATTGATAAAAATAATGGCGAAGCCTGTTACAACAGGATTTCAATATATCTATCTCATCATGGCCAATTCTCCCATAAGTCCAATAATTTCGCTATAACCAACCCACAAATTAAATTACTACGAAGAGCCGTAATAGAAAGCTCACAATAAAATTCCTAACAGGCACTACCATAGAAAACAAATGACCTATATTGTAGAAGCTTTATTGGTACAAGGAAAAGTGCAGTATGGATGGGCGGAATTGTCAAATCTCGATGTGCTTTGCGAAGGAAGTCATTTATTAAAAGTCATCTGGGCAGAAGGTAAAGGGAGTGTAAAACAGAAGGAGCAGAATGAAGGGACGGTTAACAGAATTTCTCTTAACGGAGGATGCATAACGACCCGGTTAGTGTTTCCCGGAAAACTGTGGTGCATAATTAACAATAATCATTGGAGATGGAAACGGGCTTTTAATGAAATATCTGACTACAGTATGGCTTGGCTTTATTTGGGCAATTTTGGTGAATAATTTTGCAGTCGTAAGTACTTAGGCGGGAAGGAAAACAACAAAGTGAAGGACGACCACTTCTCCTTACTGAGATGAAAAAGACGACACATCCAGGAAGAAGCCCCGGTAACACCAGTGGCAACAATCACCGGAGGTGGAGCATCTGCTCCACTTCAATTTTACACCGTAAGAGCACCACGCCCCGTTCGTAGGGCCAATAGTTGGTGGCGCATAGTTTTCAGATTATCGTACCACAGTCTCGAGAATTTTCAAAACAACATTGAATAAATGGACAAGAGCCACTTATAATCCACGACACATCGGACACATGCGATATTAAAACTGGGAAGTGGAAGAAATAGAGAGGCATTAAAGCTCTGAAAGAGTGATCTTACCAATAACAACTACAAGAACAGGAACTGGACGGATAGTGTGGGAATTATTGGTTACATACTCGGGTTGACGTGATGTATTTATCCTTTGCAAACAATGATTGGAAAAAAGCATCACGTGAAATGCTCGATCTCCTTGAGAAAGATCCTCAGCCAACACTCAACGGTAGCAGTGGATTTTCCAATTTCGCCATATTTCAAATCTAAGTGAAACAGTTTTCAAATTCAACAGTTCTAACTTGCATACCGATGATCTTCATAGCAGTTGGTGCTCAGTCTTGTACAGGGAAAATCAATATATCGATGAAGCAAGTGATGGTGGCAATTAGTCGCTCTGTCTTGTTTTTGGGCAACTGATACAGATTTAAATATCATCGCTACTAGAAGTGACGGAACAGAAGCGCTGATGAACAGCTGTCGTACTTGTTCATGAAGTGCGTCTCACTGTACCTACCAGGGACATGTTGTCATTGCTAATCTCTGAATCACTTTCGCTTCAACTTTCATCGATTTGTTCAAATCTAAATGAATTAGAAATTGCAGGCTATAATAAGGCAAGACATCAGTGTTGAAAGTAAACTGTCAAGATGGGGACCAACTGAAATCTGCAGTAAGAGTAATTAATGAGCACTACTTCATTCTTGTAATAAATCTAGATAGAAAGGAGGCACGGGTTAGAGGGAATTCATTAAGGGATAAGATTTGCGAAGAGGCAGTAATAATTGATAGGGCCGCAACGGGTGGTAGAGTTGATGATCCAAAAGTTCCTCCTCAACCCTCTTCTTGTCAAACCCTCAAATCCGTCATTTCAATCTAACAGTTAACAGCTCCTTCAAATATCATCTCCGGTTCCTCGCTATACAGATAAACTTGCTTATCAGTCCAACAACCTCACACAGTTCACACTGCAAACAGACTGATAAAATCCACCACACACAATCTTCAATGTCGCCTTATTATAATACCGCCTTTCCCACGCTCTTATAAGCAATATGGTGAGAGTACACTACGTAATAGCAATATGTACATTAACATATGCAAATATATATATATATATGCAAATGGTGACACTAAATAAACAACACTATTCCACTAGCCTATGGAGAAAAAACCCACTGGCGGCTATTCTCGAGATAAGCAAGCAAAAGTCGCCAAGAACATTAAGAGCAGGACATCTATTTTCTATTTTTTGAAAAGTTCTTGTGAGGCAAACTTTCTAAAAGTCAGTTTTTCCTGACATTAATATTGTCTATTCAATGGCATATCTAATAGACAGAGCACGGAGTAAAAATATAAGTCTGAAACAAACATTTCATAAGATTAGCAATGAATAGGCGGTATTTTATTGAAAATAATTAGTAGGAATGCATCAGGAATGCTACAAATTAAGGGACGCAAAAGAGAATCATTTCATCCTCGCTGACTAAACAATATGTTTACGTTTTTTCTTTTTTTTTTAGTTTAAACTGTGTATGTGAATAGACGGGAAAAATAACTTAATCGATTATTAAAAGGAGAATTAGGTAGAAGAAAGGATAGTTCAATGGTCGGTCACTCCCTGTGACATGATGAATATTAATTGTCACTGATTATATTACAGTGCTTTCCATTCATTTATTGAATTCACAAACAACCATATCACTGTCACTTATTCTTAGCAACATTATTAAAAACAATAGCAGTAACGAGTTCGGCTTTTCATGAAAGAAGCAGTATCGCACGCTCAGCCGTAATGAACTGTTGGAAGTTTCCGAAATTTCATGATTTTAGAAGACAACATAATTCATGACGATTGGCAATGAGGGAAATGATGCTGGAAATGGACGAACTGATGATAATCTATCTAGATTAGAAACATGCAAAGAGTTGAGTGACATAAGGCACGCGTTCCCCGTCTTAAGGTGTAAACACTTCACAGTTATCTCACCAAACCATCACCAACTAGCAAAATCAGGACCTCTACTCTGGTTTCCCCGCACCTCCTTGTCACAAGCACTAAAGAGACGATCCATGATTAATTTATTACGTGAACCCTTGTCTTCTCTCTTTGCTCCTCGCTATCATGACCATAACAAATCACTCGAAATTCTCTTCGATCGCTTGGTTCCGCTCACATTAGGCGAAATGCTTTACTGCATTCAAGAATTTGACCTTTCGGTGAATATCTGCACACTTATAACATGCGATACATTCCACGAAACTACCATGTTGTGAGAGTCATCCCAGCAGATCAAATTCCATGTTTCATCACATCTACGTAAAAAAAAATCTGTACACGTAACTTTTAACTGAGAAAAAAACTCCTTTTTGCAAATTAAGGAAATGCACTGTTTGTAGCGCATTTGAAGACTTTTTTTATATGTTAATAGCTAACATGTGGTCTAGATGATAGCACATTAAAAAAATTACACAGAAGTCCTTCCATCAGCAGCAACTTTTATGGGTGAAACACAAAGATTCACAACCAATACAGAACATATTGTCTATTGGGAGAACAAGTGGATTTCAGTAGCAGCAAAACAATGAAGAAAAAAGTTAAATATCAGTGAAAGACATTAGTTAAGCCTTATGGGTCCATCAATTGACCCCGCTCAAATCTTCAAAAACAAATGAATCCGCAGCGGTAATTAAATCTTAACAATAAATATAATATGCATACCGATAAGGGAACCTTCAACACAATAAATCAAAGCAATACTGTAAAATTCTTATCTTTGATTTGAACTCTTTTTAAACTTGACCTCGAAAGTCATTCACTCGTTACAATAATACCTGATAAAGTGTAATTCTATTTACGAGGATTCAAATCAGAAGAAAAAACGTTTTATGCAGTATGTGCGCTAGCAAAAATTATAAAATACTAACGAAAAACGACAGATGAAAACAAGAAAGTTGAGCTATATATTTGTAAGGGAACTGCTAAAGTGAACATTTTCTTTCACTGCAGTAAACCCACAAGTTGTACCTTTTAAAAAGACATATATCAATGAAGAAAACTAATTATATGAAGGGAAAAAAGCCATTACAATACTTTCCAAATGGGCGCCAAAACTAACTCTAAAATTTGAATTTATTGAGAAAATACTTTCTTTAAGATATATATATATATATGTATAGCTTAGCATCACCTTCAATTGCTGATGATTGCTTGCTGCTATATTTCATGAATAAACTTTACGAAAATATTTGTTACAAAAATTCATCGTTTAATCTTAGCTTGAAGGTCATCTCTAAACTTTTTCCACCAATACCAATAACAGCAATGACCGAAAATTTTGAATCAAATATAAAACCGAGTTTTAAATCTACTTGGTGATGTAGAAAACGGTTACATTAATTGCCCCTTTCTTCTTCGTTCCCTCATTTTCTCTTTCACCTTCCATTTTGCCACCAACACATTTTTATTTTCGCGTCATAAAATAATGATAAAATTTTCATTCGGACATCAGAAGTTTAAACTGAACTGACATGGGTGAACAATTTAAAAATTTATTATGCGTTAAAAATACCGTCAAGATGCTGATGTCACAGAAAAGGGAGTACATGGATACTGTAACGGGCGGCTCATCAAATGCTGAGTGAATCGAATCGAGTCGCTGCCGGATCATCAAACAAGCGTTTCATATATATATGTACTGTTGCATTTGATTCCACAACTATATTCATCACCGCCGCTTTACATTTCATTTCACTCATAAAAACATAATTTCATTTTACTGTCATTCTGGAAATTACTTAAAATTGACCTTTAGCCTTTCTTTTCAGTCTTCGTTTTCAGGTATCGTATCCTTGCAGCTATCATAGGCTGGAGACGAGTAAGATGACCTATGAAAAAGTTCAGCATCTCTCAACTAAATATAAATATGCTTCCTTTCCTCTCCAAAACGATGCAGCTGTTAACATCTGGTGGTAGACTGTCCAAAATAACCGGTTATGGATGTTTCAGAAGTAATCACAATTTCTAAATCCTATTTGTGCCATTTCCATTTCTGAATTTTAAATTCATCCACTTAACCACAACACATTTCTTTTTTTGACTTATGAACAAGTTCACTGACGAAAAGTTTTTATCAAAGAACACTGGCTAGCAACTTTTAGATAATAAGGTCTTTGAAGAGTTCAAAGGCAGGCATAAATCATGAAAGAATTAACCGTTTGTATCAACTTTACATCTCAAGTGATATTTTTTCTAAATAATGAATTCAATATCATCAGTGACTTGTCCTGATGCAGAAAAATTCTAAAACTCCTATTAATGCAGAATTCTTTATTTCCCGAGTTGAAACAAGCAAATCGATCTGAATGAAATTCCCAGTCGTCAATGAATAATTGCAAGTTGGGTTTACTGACAAGGAAAAAGACCGTAAATGCATTCATTATTCCTTCCAATGCATACAGCACACAAAACCCAGTAACTCAAAAATTATAAAGCTAAGTATTCCTATTTCATTTACGCTGGCTTACTACTAGGTTCTGGAACAGAAGAAAGTATTGGGATGACAAGGAAGTAAGTATAAGGTTTATACGGAACAACCACACATCAATAAAAATTGAACTATTGAGAAAAGAACATTCCATTTAATGTGACTCAATCGTGCAGCAACATCATCCTATAGAGAAATTCCGAAATTTAATATTTCACATTATTCATCACTATAAGATTCTTCAGTAAATTGAATTTCTTTACCAGAAAACGAAATATTGCATCAGGTTGGAGAATACGGTAACACAGAATGCACACCACTGGACGTTATTAAATCAAATGAATAAAGATAAATTTTCCAAGAATTTTGAATACAAGTTCTTTAAATTAACATTTGCCTCTTTGAGCGAAATATTTAAGATCGATGTAAAATTCCGTACTACTCAAATCTCACTGCTTCTTCATTAGTGCATTTATTACGGATTGTTTGTTTGCATATTCTTTTTCTTCATGCTTTCTTCTTTTACTATTTTTGTCAGCAAACAAAGAGTAAAAATGTAGGGAAAGTAAAAAATAAATAAGCAAAAGTAAAAATCAGAAGCGTTTTTTCCTCAGCAACTGAACACTTAACCCAATGAAATAATTATAGACCAGGGACATGTGAATTGTTCAAAGTACTTTGCATTAGTGGCACAACGAAAAGATATCAGCGTAATTGGGATTGAAAGAAAATTAAATGACGAAAAGAGAAATATCAAAGATGTTGTGTTAAAGATATAAATAGCTTATTCCAATTATTCAATTTTTAATCTTTTTCTATATAAACTAAACAGAAGAGTACCGAAAGGTTAATAAAAGTTTACAAAAGATAAAATTACATATTCACTCTCCTAAAAGAGAGTATATTATTGCGTAATTTTGCTCTGTATTCAACAACAACAAAAAAATGTCAGAGAATGACAATAACAAGTAGTGTATGCAGATGGGAAAAAAAGGCTAAGTTTATTAAATAAATGAAAAATGAAAAGAGATATATCGCACAAATAAAAAGAATAAACGATCTAAAGAACTAATAGGATCTAATTAATCTTCAAGAAGTTTGAAAAATTATCTTACAAAAAGTCACCTTTCTTTTTGTTCAATTTGCAATTTTTATTCATCAATGCATCTATTAAAATTAAGAGAAAGCCAGCAAATCTTAAGATAAAATAAACTTCGTAGCAAGATATTTTCGAGAGTATCAATGACACAATTATGTAAACAATAGGATTACCTGTTGAGCTATTAGTTCCTATTGAATTATAGTTATATGAATTTCTGAGCCATAATCACAGCATGACATGACACCAAGAAAGTTTGAATAACAATTTATAAGCAAATACGATACGTATTCGTGAGCAAAAACATTATATGTTTACTTAATATTTTACTTAACGATATACCTGCTTCAGACCAGAAGTATTGTCATCCAGTCATCTAATAAACATCCTAAAGTCCCTCTATAATTGTTTTCAATTAGTGATATTCATTTTTACAAGGTGTATGATCACACAAGCTAAGTTTTATTACACCTGCGCATTTATATGGCCATTTTATTTGGATATCTAACGTGTCAGCTATCGACTAATGTGAGCCATATAAAAGCTTTCAAGGTCGAGAGCTACCAGTGATCAGTATCCTCATACCCTCATAGTTCAGATTAACCATGAGCAAGTGGTCAGTTCCCTGTAAGCTCATCTGCAAACAACACATAACAGTGTGGACCAATGTCATGTTTTCTGTTGAGAAGCGAAAAATACGTCAAATAAACAAAGTGGACATCACTGGTCAGACGTGACAGTCCATCTCGACTAAGGAAATGAGAGTATCAATAGACATGGTTGGACCAGTGGACCAATCAACAACGGTGACAAATTTGATATTCAATTCATAATATTCAGTAAAATGTACACATATATGTGTATGTCTGCTGTGTATATATGCAAAGAAGTGGAAAAAAAGAAAGTATTTTTTTACTGAATGACTGTTTTATTTTGATAATGAACGAGAAAGAAGAAAAGGTTTCATTTATCTAAAATTAGAAGAAACGGATGGCAAAAAGGAATCTCGAGGATGTGTACGAGCAGTGTGCACATATGCGGGCGCATACATGCATTTCTAATGTGCAGCTACTAATACCACTATTATTACTTATGGCGGCTTTCCTCACAAAAACTAAAAGGAGCGGCAACCCTGAGGGAATCCGATTAGCGCCGCCATCAGGCATCAAATAACTGTAGAATATTGCTGAGGAGAATGCTAACATCTCTGCTCATCGGAGGGACAATTTTTCCCTCTTTTAATTCGAATAAAAATGAGCTAACAATTCCGCTTTCATCAATCTAAATTTAGACATCACATCCAGTCCATAACAACGGAATTCAACGGAACTTTCCTCATTTATCAACAAAATACAGATGAAACAACTTAATGTATATTTCTCGAATGCCAAGAATGAACATAACGGGAGAGCTATGTGATGATTAAAAGAGTATATATCCATTACTAGATTATACTGACTGCAAATCAAAATCATCATTTAACAACACGGTTTTTAACCTTTGATATCAAAATCTTTCGATCCTTCTGGATGAATCCAATTTGCATTTAAATTAATGTGACATCATATAAACGCACAGTTCTAATATAACTTATACAATACTATAAACGGATCTGCTTATCAGCAATCCAGAAAACGTCATGGACTTCAACATTGTCTATTCAAACTGCTAATGCTATTTCTTTATTTAGT